GCTGTTTTTGTTCTTGTTCTTGCTGCACTTCCCTCAGCCCATTAGCTTCCCAGATAAGATCTAGGGAGCGTCATAAGGTCAAGCCCTAATTATGCTTAAGAGGACCGTGCCCTCTAAGCTGGGACTTGTTTGTGACTTTGCCAACAGGTCAGTCCGAGGCTTAATCCTATATTGCTCCCCACATATTTTCAGTTCACTTCTGCCACATATACCAGGGTAACTCCCCAATTGCTCTTCCTTCCCCTCCCTTCCTTCCTTCCTTCTTTCCCTCCCTCCTTCTCTCGTCTTCTCTCTCCTCCTCATCTCTCGTCTCTCGTCTCGTCCTCGTGCTCTCTTTTCTTTGCTCCCTTTGCTCTCTTCTATCAATGCCTTAGTCTATTGACCAACTATAACATCCACTTTATTCAATAGATTTGCCTTGAAACACTCTTTGGCTATCTCTAAAAATCCAATCAGTCTTTGAAGGATGGAGGTAGTTTTCATCTTTGAAACTGCCAACACAAAAATAAATTCAGAAATAAAAGGCCCAAAGGTGAATAATGAGGATGATGTGGTTTGAAATATTTCCCTGGCCTTCCAGTTTCTTTTTCTGAGGCTCTTTTGTTAACATTGACACAGAAAGCACTTCAGGTTTGTGGGGATTGAGGAGGAGGGTAGAGAAAGAGAGAGAATAAAGGCAAGTCATGAGAAACAGTGATCATGGCTGTCTCACTCCAAGTTCAAATACTACTATTCAGGGAAGTTTGAAAAACCCCCACAAAAAACAAAACAGATAATTTGGAGCTTCTATGGGCTGAATGTCTGTCCATAGATAGAAACCCTAATCTCCAATGTGTAGATCTTTGGTAGTGGAGCTTCTCGGAGGTGATTAGTCAATCTCATGAATGGGATTAGTGCCCTTACAAGAAGAGATTGGACACATACCCTCTCCTCCTCCTGCTCCCTTTCTCTGCTATGTGAGGATACAAACCAGGAAGTAGGCTCTCACCAGACACTGGATCTGCTGAGGCCTTGATCTTGGACTTTCAGTCTCCAGAACTATGAGAAGTAAATGTTTGTGATTTAAGCCATCCAGCCTATAGAGTTTTGTTATAGCAGCTAGCACTGACTAAGACAGAGGCACCCCCCAGGATGCGGGGCTTGTTTTCACTTCCTGAAACCAATGCATGATATATTAGTCCTCCTGGAAAAATCCCTGGACTGGCATAGTGCCAGGTAGCAGAGGTCAGAAGTGGTTGAGAAAGCATTCTAAGCACAGAGGCCTAAGATGGTCCTTCAGGTCTGTCTTGGGCACGTAGGACACAGTGAGATCCAGAAAAGTTCCTGGAGTGACAGAAGGTGAGCACTCCCAGGTGTCAGGCCAGGGAGATGGAGGGGTCTGCAAGGGGTCTGCAATATTAAGAAGGTTTTGTCTTTATCAGAGCTGGTGGTCACTTTGTACATGGTGAGGAGACTGTAGCAGAGGCAGTTTGTCCCATGGTGGGGCAAATGGCCACTCTAAGGAGAAGTTAGCAAGACTGACAAATGAAGCGGGAAACTCCATGGAATATAACAGAGTTTATTATAGAGAATTTATTTATGGGAATGTAAGGTCAGAGCAGAAGAGTTAACCCAGAAATTCTGTACAGACTGTTCTCCGCTACAGATTCCAGTTACTGTACTTTTTCATAGTGTAACTCAGGTACTAGTGATTGAGAAGACAAAGGGACAAAGAATGCAGCAGTGTCAGGGCCATACCTCTTGGCGGTCTTGTGATAGATGAGATGCCGGGGTTCTTATTCCAGCATCAAGAAGGGTTCAGGAATCTGGAGAAGGCTGTGCGTAGATTAAGTAAGAGTCCAGAGACTAATAAAGAGTCATGAGACGAAATATAATTTTGAAAGGCACTTGGGGGTCAGAGGAGCTTAGCTAAAGGAGCTAAGATCCAAGATCTAAGTTCTCAGGTCTCCTCATCCCAGGACCCCATGCTTTTTATTAACACAACTTGTCCTGAGGCAAGGCAGAGATATACACTTCAAAGGGTCAGGGTTTCGTACAGAGTCCATTGTCAGAACGGGGAATTAGCCTGCCATGACAGCAGGGCTGAATCTGGGAATGGCTGGTAGCAATGAGATTGTTTATAATCCATACTATTGCCAGTTTGATATACAACTGACATTGCCAGTTGTAATGACACTCTGGCCATTACTAACAAAAAAATTATGGCTACATTTTAAGGAACTCAGATAATCAGCTACTGGAAGGCTGATACACTTGCTAAGGACAGTGAGGTTGTTCAAAGGTCAAGCATGACACTTAAAAATGAAATCCAGGACACAGAGATGGAGTTGGTTTTGTTCACATCCAATTCCATCTAGGCCCTAAGCTAGGAGCCACAGCAATGAGAAGCAGAGAGCAGATGGAGATGTCACCTGTTGGGGCTGCAGCAATCGAAGTCACAGGGCACTGCAGACAGTCTGTGAGCCACAGCACCTGCGCCTCCCTCTGGAAGCACTACAGGTTCCCAACATGAAACCCTCTTAGCCAGGAAGAGGGGGGCCTTTTCAGGGAGTTTGCACCTTGAATTTGACTGAGTACTGATCCCAAAGCGACTAATTTCACCGAGTGTAACCGGAAAGAGATTGTTTCCAACCAGAACAGGCTGAGCTGGATCAATTCCCACCATCTCTAACCCACTCACTTGAGGGAACGGGACACTGGAGTGAAATGTGGTCAGTTATAGGAAATAAAGAAAGTATCATTTTTTATTTTATTTTAAGCAATACACTGGGATTTAAATATCAATTTGAAGGTGGCAACACTCATTTGGATTAATAATTAAAAAAACATTCTATTACTTTCTTTTCATCCCTTTTAAGCAAGGCAGATGAGTCAATCAAATCACTGATCTGATTAAAAGCAAAAATGTATTTTGTGATAAATGAATATATTGGGATTTATATTTGTGCTTAGCAGCATGAAAAGCCACAGGCATATTTTATAATAGACCAGTAACATAGCATTACACGAAGTTCATTTAAAAAAGCATCATTCAACGAGTTATAGAAATAATGACTTTAGAGGCCTCATGTAAATTTCCACTTTCCCAGGCTGTTCCTGCCCCTTGCAGACCCCTCTATCTCCCTGGCCTGACACCTGACTTCCTACCCACCGATAATGTGCATTAGCTACAATCAACTTAAGGTACAAGAACATCATCACCATGACTTCAGAGTCACACCACTCTTGGACGAAAAATAATGACCAATTTCATCGTCTACTTTATTCATCATACTTGCTTATGAGTAACTGACAAATCTAAAAATCACTTCCACACTCAAAGGACAAAGATTTGGAAGATAGTTTTATAAATTAAAGAAAGGCATTTCTTTTAGACGCGCCTCAAATATTGGATTTCTCTAAAGATTGGAGCGGCTTTATTTTGTTAGTGTGTAACAAACAATTTAGCATTTAATTACATACGGCCTCGCATTGTCGTCGAATTTATTCTCTATGACAACGCTGGCGAAGAGCAAACTCTTTGAGGGCTGAACAGCTGGTCCTACACTTCTCTGTTCTGCTTTGGGGCAATTAGCAGAGTGGTAGGCACCTAATGGTGCTAAATGCATACTTATTGCATGATTGAAAGGATGTATTGAATTTAAACTCTATTAACATAGATTAAGAGTATAGTCAAGAATTTTTATGTGAAAAATATAAGCAGATAATTAGATGCAATTTAGAACCTCATAAGAGCATGGTGAAAAATAAATCAGATAGACCATCGACTCTAAAGTTAGTGCTCATTTCTACTGCCAAGAGCTTTAAAAGCACGGATCAAACAGCAATCTACACGGTAAAAGTGGCATAGTTCTTATTTATTAAGTTAGACATTCAATATTAAGAAGGCTTTTGTCTTTAGTTGTAAACCAACTGAATGTTTTTATAGACTTTTTATGCAGACTAAACAAAGACTTTTAAAGAAAATTCACCGTGGAAAGGAAAATACCTGTTGTGGGCCCTCACTTTTCTCAGGGTTGGAAGGTTCCACCACGTTGCAGCAATTAAACTTGCTCTGTGTCACGTTAGGACTATGAAACAGTGTCTGCACTTAACGGTATCATTTTGGATCAGTGGTTTTTTCCTGCAAAAATCTAAGCCATGCCTGTCTTTTGTGCTCTCCCTATATTAATATTGTTTTCTCTGCAACATCCATTTAATTAAAATAGAATCAAGGATTTCTGCTTAACCCTTGCCTAAGAGCTAAGAGGCTGACAGGCACTGGCACAAAGGGGCGAATCTTTAAAGAACCTTTGGGGAAACTTCAGTTGGTTCCTGTGGTTGGAATCCCCCCATTCTTAGCAATGATGCATCTCTGGGCAGGCTCAACCATTGTCTACCAGACACGAATTTGCACTCTTTCTCAGTCAGTTCGAATTACTTGGGAGTTCCCCCTGGGCAACTAAATCCTACTCATCCTACAATCCAGCTCATGTACCATCTCTTCTGGGAAACCTTCCCCCACTAGGTTTCCCATAGTTGATATATCCATTATTCTCATAGTCTGTTTCCTCATGTGTAAAATGAGGAAAATAATAGTGCCTACAGCATGAGGTTGTTGTGGGGATTAAAAGGCTTAATTCATGTAAAGTGATTAGATGCTAGGAAGTTAGTAATTTTAACTAATAGTTTAGTAATTGTCATTTATTACAAAACATTTAAGATTTAAAAGCCCTTTGTTTAGTGCTTTCTTTATTTGCTTGCTTGCTTACTTATACATCTTGTCTCCTTAAGAGAGGGGGCAGGGTAATGCGGGTGCATGGGTGGAGAGCACCTCTTGTTCTTCATGTGCGGGTAGGTCTGTTTAGGATGCACTCTGGGGAGCGTACAGAGAACCCAAGACCAAGTTCCTATAGACACAATGACCAGGGATCCACAAGACTGGAAACAAGTGATGTTTTAATCTTTACATTAAAACCCATGCTCTCACCTTACTCGCAATTCCAAGGCAGAGAAACAGATCAGGGTGGTTTGTGATTTACCATCATTGCAATATGGGCATCCAACTGAAACATTTTCCCGAAAGAGCCCTACTTTTAGCCACGCAGTAAAAGAAGAGGGTAGAACACAGCCTTGGTGATCTTCTACAGCTGAGAGAGCTTGGTTTTCCAGGAGCATGAGTGCCTCACTCCCTGAAATGAGCAACAATCCCGACGATAAGGACACTTCTGCAAAGGTGAATGGTAACAGCAAGCAAGTCCCTGGACTCATATTCCTTTTACAATTTTGAGGCTTTTATAACACAGGGATTAGCTGAGTTTCTAATTAGACTAGGGTTCATGGAGTGGGTGAAGGATACATTCATTCATTTTCTTTTAACAAATATATATTTTAATGTCAAACAATCCCTTTGATGATCATTGAACGTTCTAGTAAGATGCAGGGCCACCCTGAATCACAGAGCAATGAGAGTTGATCCACTGAGTGACGACTACCTTTCAGCATTGTCCTAGGTGCTGGGGAAAAAGCAGTGAAGGAATGAGACAAAATCATGGCTCTCATGATGCTTGTTTCCTAGTGAGGAGAGATACACATTAAATAAAACATGCTAACATTTCAGGTGGTGGTAGGTTCTATGGAGAAAATTCAAGAAGGCCAAGGGAATAAAGAACGTAGGTGCAGGCATGCACTACGTATGGGGTAGTCAGGGGAGAGTCCTTTGACGAGATAACATTGTACAGAAACTGAAGGAAGTCACAGGACAAACCCTATGGAAATATGGGAAAAGAAAGTCCTAGGCAGAGGAGACCACAAATGCAAAGGCCCTGAGAGAGGGGCCAGTTTTGTCTGTCTGATGTGCAATGGGGCAGGATGAGAAGGGAAAAGAGATAGGAGATGAGGTCAGATTGACAGTGGAGCCAGATCACAAATGGCCTTGAAGGGCACCAGAAGGACTTTGGCTTTTACTTTAAGTATGTCAAGAGCCATTGACAAGTTGTGAACAGAGGAATTACATTCTGGCTGCTGTGAGAGGAATGGAATGTAGAGGGAAAGGCTGGGAGCAGGAAGGAGGACTGGCAGGGACTGCTGATGGCCACGTGACAGTTGCCGGTCCTTTCTTACTTTAGTAATAGCATCCTGATTTTTGGGTGGCAGCAATGTACCCAGCTGAAGTCTCTATTTCCCGGTCCTCCCTTACAACTGAACATAGTCCGGTGACTATCGTTTGGCCAAAGACCTCTAAGAAGACGATGGAGGCATTTTTGGAACACAGCTTAAAAAGAACCTTTGCTGCTGGGAGGAAGTTTTCTTTCCCTCTTTTGCTTTCCCCTGTTGCCAGCTGGAACATAAACATAATGACTGGAGCTCCAAGGGCCACCTTGAATCATGAGGTGACCTTTACAATGGAAGCCACATGCTGGGTAGAACAAAACGCTCCAATAGGTCCCTGATGGGAGCCAAGATGGCTCATGAACTCTGGATTGCCTATTTCTGGACTTGTTTGCACTTTCATTTTGTTTAAGCCATTGTTATTTTGAGTTCCGGGTCAGGGCACAAGCCTGGGTTTCAGGCTTGATCCCCAGTGGGGGCGCATGCAGGAGGCAACCTAGCCATATGTCTCTCTCTCTCTCCCTCTCACTTCCTCTCTCTCTAGAATCAATGAAAATAAATAAATAAAAACATCATATCCTAGGGTGAGGATAAAAAAATAGCAAACTTTCATTCCCATACATTTATTTTGAGATGTTTATTTCCTTTCTTCTTGTTATAACCTCATGGTTGCTCAGATTTCTGTCCTAGGAGAATGAAAAGAAGGTTTCTCAGTGCATTCTGGGAGAGAAGTCTCTAGACCTGGGGTGGTCCTTGTGAGCCCAGAGGATCTTGCACATTTTTTTCTAATGAAAAACACTCACATTATGGGGCCAGGCCTCAGGTACAGGTCCCATTTGTTAAAGGTGGTCTTAAAATATTATGGAAATTGCTTTGATCCTCCCATCTTGTAGCCCCTCTTCATTAACTCAAAAATTATTAATGGGGAGCCTTTTTCTGGCTACTCAGTGTTTTAATTCACATTAATGAGCAATGACTGATTGCCATTTCTACAATGTGTGTATTAATCTAAATCTAAATCTCTGATTCATGCAATAAATGTGAGATAAATCATTAACACTCTAGGATTTTCAGTGAGAAAGTGGGCGAGGGCAACATAAAACTGGGAAGTAGAATTTGTGCGCCTGCACTTGTGAATATGTGTGACTGCCCACTTCATTTATAAGTCTCTGCAGCTTATCTATGTGTCTCTACTGCTTTTCAGGAACTAGAGATACTCACATATGGGTTTTGGTTTAACCAAATTATTCTTAAATTGTAAGCTTTGATCTCAGGATCCTATTCCCTAATTTTCCGTTGAAGATGTTTCAGCTACCCCGACTTTATAAAGGTTGTCAGGACAGTCATAGACTTATCGTGGTCCCTGACTCCTGGTTCTTCTTTCAATCTGGTTGTCAGCTACAGTACAGAGTGAGTAGGGAGAGAGAGATGACAAGCATCAAAAGCTGAGGTTTCCGTTTCTCACTGTGGCCTGGGCTAAATGAGTTCTATCTCACTCTCTAATCACCCTGCAAATTGTGAGACAAAAGGGCGCTGGCTGGGTGACAGTTCTGTGTAGTGGTTAGCTCCAGGCTACTATTCAAACAGGTTTGAATGCAGCTCCCAACCCGATTGCTAGCAGCTCTTGTGGCCTTGGACAAGTCGCTAAAGCCTCAGGTGTTACAGCTTCTATACAGAGCATTAATGATTCTTACGAAAAGGGTGGCTGATGAGGGCAGCCCTTTCCTGCATCGCCCATTCCCATCAGCTGATCTGTATTTGCTGCAGCCTTTCTGCCCAGGTCCAGGAGTTACCTTCCCTTGGAAGGGCGGGAGGCAGGATGAAGTGGGAGTGTAGGGTCTTTCCCCTTTGCATCTGCTAGCGGCATGACCTCCTTGAGTCTTTCCGTACCCCGCACCCTGGTCTCTCTCTGGTCGCTACCGTGGATGAGTAGCTGCAGCACGAGGAACAAGCGAGAAGAAAGCTGTTTCTGCTCAGGAGTCCGGGCGAAAGCCTGGCCCCACGGGGCGCGTTGAATTCTAATTTACACCACTTGCTGTTTCACCATCGCAGCAAAGTCTTGAATCTCTATCCCGGTGCCTGTGATCGGCCGTCGGCGAACAGTTCGGGACGCAGAAGGAGAACCGAGCTTCTGCAATGAAATGCACAGTAAAAGAAGTCGTGCTTCTTCCTGCCCGTGACTGTTTACGAGAGGGAAGTCAGCGGGGCCCCCAAGAGGTCGCTGGTGGCGCAGGCACGGAGGCCAGATTGTAGCGAAAGGGGGAAGGAAAAAACACCCAGAAACTTTCTTCCTCGTTGCGAATCATCGCCGCGCCCCCCGCCCCTCCCCAGGCAGAGGCAGTAACGTGACACCGGAGAGAAACCCGGAGACCCGAGTGGAGAGAGGGAGGGGAGAGGGAGGAGAGAGGGCCGCGGAGAGCCGGAGGGAGAAAGGGGAGGAGAAGGAGGAAAACCCCTGTCAAGGAGGTGGAGCGAGGGGCTGGTGTCCGCCTCTCGTTCCTCCCTGCCGTTTTTCAGAGGAGCCTGAACCGGGACAAAACACGCCGACACCGACAGACACAAAGGAGTGGGGGGGAAGCATACTTGCTATATTTTGTAACCATGTTACAATGCTCTGGTCTCTGGAATGAATCTGTGGTGGTATAAAGTTATGCCCAGTTCAGAAATGACGTAGTAAACTGAAATCTAGCTGCCCTTCTTTCAGCTCCCGCCTGTTGGGCTGCGCCGACTGTAATGCTGCCGTTACCGTAGACAGTGATTGACTTGTTCCCATCCCCA